ATTTTTCCTTTTGCACACTGATTCTTTGAGTTTGTGAACCAAACAGTACCTGGTTATCGCAACCATTAAAAGAAAGCATACGTTCGTTCTGCTTCTTCATGCTAAAAGCTAGCAGAAGCCGATAGATGAACTTCTTCTGAGAAAATCTCTTCAGTTGCCTGCCATTCTTCGCAATGATCCTGTGCATAATTGAAAACCTTGCCATCGATAAAAAAAACCTCTATTTTGCTTCAGCTGCATCCATTTGCCAAGGCAACTGAAGTAGATGCACTTCGCGCCAAAAATTACCACAAAAAGATGCAAATTTATTCAAAGGAGGTTAAGTAATTAAAAAATCGCTCTCGAAGCCTTGAATGGATTAAGCGTAAAATTTGCAAACGAAACATTGAACTTTGAATGGAGTGACTAAGGTTTCTTGCAGGCAGGAATAATGGTTTAGATAGTGGGCACCTACCTTGATTTCGATCAATTATCATGTCAAATGCAAACTCAAGTTTTACCCCTGTACGTGATTGAATTCTCGTGCTTTTAATTGTCCAAGCGAAACAAAAAGTTTTCTATTTCTTTACGTAAAAAAATCAAAAGCCAAGGTTGAAGGAAGGCTGGATACTGAACAAAAACTTGTTGCGGATTTTTGTTTGATTTTTTGATTTACTCGATGTTCTTAATTATCTTCAATGTGTGTTAGTCATACTTTCTTCTTTCGTTTCTTCACACGATTATTAAAAGGAAAACTACCTGCTACCCTTGATAGCTCATGGGAAACGAAGAGTTGAAAAGTTAGAAGGAAAACTACGCTTGTTAGTATTGTGTCCCTTTGCGGCTTCTGTCTGCTATTGCCCTTTCTATTGTTCCCTTCACAATGCCGTTCTTTACAGTTAAAAAGTAGATATTTATTGCGCCTTAACAGGATGATTGTCAAGTGGCTGGGGCATTGTGCAACTGCACTAAACAATAAATTGTATTTTTGCATGCGCTCGTCCTTGGCTGTGATGTAGCGCAATTAATATTAATCGGACCACTTATTGTCCCATTGTTTTTGCAACAAACCGCAGAACGGAAGTTCTTCGACGCTTACACGTGCCTTGTCAGACGTTGCGATTGTGTTTGAAACGATCTGTTAAATCCTTGTTTTAATCACGTTATGCCGGATACTGACGACTTTTTCATTAGCGAAAAAAAAATTAGAAAGCATACGTTTTGGGTTGTGGCATTACTAAATAGTGCTTGGGTTTTTCTGCGCATTGAAATGAGAATTTCTTAACACGGGTTTTGTAAAAACTGTTAAACTGTAGCTCAGATGTAAATGGGTGAAGATGAAATTTGGTTGTTCCTGTGGAAACTGATACAATTATCCCACTGAAGTTACACTCGCTGAATGGGGTTTGTAATTCTCTATCCAGTGATAGGAAATAGGGCTTTGTGGCTCAAATGGTTCTCGAGACATAAAAAAGGCGACTTTCGCAATTTTACAACGCAAACGCAATAAAATCCGGGAATTTTTGGTTGTTGTGTGAAAAATGCCCATATTTCTCGAGTGATTGTTTATGTGGTAAACGCGTCATTTAGTGCTCTATACGGCGGTGTAGTAATAAAAGCTCCAGCTCAATCTGTTCCTGAGAAATAAGCAAAAGGGTGGCGCAAAACATGAAACTTCCAAACTCAAGTTGCACTTTCTAGCTGGGGTTTGAAATTCTCTATCCATTGGTAGGAAAACGGGTTCTGTGGCTCAGATGGTTCTTGAAATAGGGCGAAAAATACGGCTATAAGTTAGAGCCGATTTTACAATTTTATAGCGGCAAACTAATGAAATCCAGCAATTTTTGCGTCAATCCTGGCCTCTATCTTGATTTTCTGGGCTCCAGAAACTCCAACTCCAACTTTTCTGGTTTAACTACCAGAAAATTCATAATTCTGATTAATTGATTATTGCCTTAAGAGTCGACGAACAGTTTACATATTCTCCAAGCCGAATGTTTAATAATTGTTTTACGTCGGGCTATAAAAGTCGCATAAACAACGCACAGTTGCTTAACGATAAGCATCGACTCTCTTGCGTCAATACCTGATTTCCATTGGGTTTAAATTCTGGTCAGTGAGTTTAGTGGAATTAAAGTCACTGATTGGAATGGAGATCAAAATTTATTCGCGTTTTCCACTCGGGCTGCTAACGGAGATTTCAATAGTGTTTAAGTTTTTTGCATGGAAATAGAATTAATTTATTAAATTGTGCGTTTTGGCTCTAAGATTTCACAACAAGCAAGAACAACCTATTTGCCAATCAAAATTAACTATATATTTGCAGGAAAAGCCACTTGGAAACCAGTAGCCGTTCAGAAGCTTTTGTATCTAATAGTCGAAAATCAATTAAATGCATTGATAAAAAATGGCTATTGTGTTTCAATGTCGAGCTGTAAAAGTAGTACTTGGGGGGCATTTGATAGATAGTAACCGGCTTATGGACTACAACTCATAACTCCTAATTCCTGGAAACATTTTTTTTTAATGAAAATCAACAAATTGTTGGTCGGAAATTGTTTAAATTTTAATTTTACTTTTGTCATGTAAAATAAAGCGTACAATTCAACCGGCACATAAACGGCCGTTTATTCAATCATTGCTGATAAATTGATTCATTTTCGTATGACTTGAGCAGTCGAAACAATAAATTTCTATTAGGCGCGTGCAGTGCCTGCATAATGGTATTGTTGGCTATCACGTTCATATCGCAACCAAATGCATTGACGTAGATTTGGACACTAAAGTCAAGGAATTTTCTTTGATAAATCTTGTCACGTAGTCAGCTAGGGAGATCGAGATTTTATCCTAGAAAAGTGGACAGATTTTTAGTAGGTTTTTCTGCAAGATTTGACCTGCAATTACTTTACTTTGGGAATTTTCACATTCATGTGGATAAAACACGGTTTTATTAAACTATTACTACGTGCGTTTAGCGACAAAATTTCAACGAATTCCGCGAAAACTTCGTTATTTATTTCGTATGTTGCATTAATGATGGCCTAGTGACCTCGCGGTCGGCATCGTCTCAATGAAGTTGATTATCTTCGATATAGCTAAAAATGTCTTATTAATATTGTTATTTGCCATTAAATTAATAATTGCCTGGATTAATCAGTAGTACAACTATCAACCAGATGGATTGCGCAAAGAAAAAATATCCATTTAATTTGTACAACATGATTTATTTTCCTGACTGCGTGTAATTGTTATTATATTATTTTCTTTCCTGGGCTCCAGTCACAGTCTGAAATGTTTTTTTGGTATATCGTTTATTTCGTTACGTTTCGTCGAGACAACAGCGCCATCATCAGATTTAAAATTTACACAAACTCATGATTGGTAAAAATC